TTTAGCCAATTTCTTTTGACAATCCTTAGCTAAGACTGAGTAGCATATTCCTTGAGGTCTGTTCAAAAATTAATAATAGATTCCCTCACTAAAAGAATAGATGAGGCAGGTGGGAATGAATTTGACTAACTACAAGGACAATGAATGACAAATTTTGTTACAGCGTACGCGTGAGCTACATTGTAACAAACATTGAGCATGATAGTGTGAACTAGCTGTCATATGCAGATGGCACACTGATAAATAGGATGTGGTTGTGCCTTTTCATGGAAACTTTTATGGTCTGTAAGAAACACCCTGAATATAGTATTATTGACAATGCAGTTAATTTACCCTCAAATATTTTTGTACAACGGAATATAAATGAACCTCTGCCAGACAAATATTTGCAAAAAAAAAAAAAAATTCACATAGCTTTATTGTCAGCCAAAAGAGATATTACTACATTCTGAAAATCAGGCAAAACTCCCACGCATAAGACTTGGCTGACAGATATGTATAGATTTGTTCCACTGAAAAATAAATGCTGTCAAATCAGCAGATGAGCACAAGAGTTTGGCAAGAAATGGCACACCTTTCTAGACCTCAGAAGTGATCAAATGAAGAGCTCATCAATGAACTCTCTTGTATTTCTCTCTTTTAACTAATGTTTATACATGCTAGATGTTTGTTTGACTACACCTGTATTCTTAGAATATAGTTACCTCTCAAAAGGCTACTATAAAGATCTATCTTCTAACTTATAACTTGACTGTGGACATCCTATTCATAAAGGTACTTCCATTTAGATGATTTGGCCTCACCAAGAGGAGTAAAGCCTCACACTACCACCCTTTGTTATTCTCAAACTGTGGCTGTAGACCTCCAATGACTCGCATAACCCTTTCTAGAAGCATAAATAGTGGAACATTGGGGAAGGAAGCAATAGAGGGAGTTTTCAATGCAAAAAAAAAAAGTGGTGACCTTAAGAGAAGTTACAGAATTTCTCCTTTAAGAAGAGGTCCATAGAACAGCTGTTTTAATTAAAAGCATGTAATAAATACCTCACTTTCCTACCTTTCTTCTTATTGTTGATTTTTCTTCACTTTGGCTCATGTACATGCATATGTTGTTATTTTAAAAGTCATCAAGTGTGAAAGAATAAAGTGTGTCATGTGTTATATGTTTGGTGCTTTCAAGAAAAAAAAAAACTGTTTGCTTTGGCAACTGCAGCTCGAGCAATTTGTCTGAACAGAAGATGGAAATCTAGCAGCATATGGCTGTAGATATAAATATGAATCTAGAAATTATATACAGACATACTATACATTAACATGAAAAGCATTTCATGGGCAGTTGGTCACAGTGATAATTCTGAAATGCAGGATTTAGTTTCCATTCTCTGGCACTTATGCATTTTTATAAATAGAATCTTGTACTTCCATATCTAGAGTGCAATCTCAGTTTGGGTAACACATGGCAGGTGACCAGTTTTGCTGAAAAATAAAAACCCAACTGAACAACATGCTATGTTTTTCAAATGCACCCTAATATTAAAGGCCTCTCTTTAAATCATGGTGTTGAGAATTTTTTTTAAAGTCCTATATGCTTTGGATTCTAGCCTTCTAAGAAAAGAAATCTTCTTTCTTCTGGCTGCATTATAACAAGTAAGAACAGTAAAGCTGCGTCTACACTAGATGTTGACTGCGCAGTAGCTTGTTACTACTGCACAGTACCATTGCATGACATGAAGCATGACAATGCTACTGTCCAGTAGTAACAAGCTAATGTGCAGTCAGTGTCATCAAAAAGCCATTCAGGGATGCTACTGCACGGTTATGCTGGTTACTGAGCTGTCATTTAGTACTTGCATACACAAGTACTAAATGACTGCGCAGTAACAACTGCACAGTCAGCCTCTCGTGTAGATGCGGTCTAGATGTACTTAAGTTTGAATGCTCTGGGTTGGGGTCAGAACCTTTTTCATGCAGGACGTCGTCTTTACTAAGAATACATTTCCTGCATGATTCTCAGAATGCCCAGTAAAGTCCCCAAACATTTTTGGTGAAACACAGAGTAGAGAGAGGTAGTTAGCAGTGTAAAGCTAAAATCAGGCAAGGGTAGGGCAGGGTGGCACCTTTGAGATTAACTCAAGGAGGCTAAGCTTTCATAGGCAGCAGCTAAGTAGCTGACAAAGTAGGATGTTGCCTATGGAAGTTTATGTCTTTTTAAAGAAATTAGTCTCTAAGGTGCCACCCTGCCCAACCTTCTGTTTGCTGTAACACTGCTGACCTCAGTCCACCTCTAGTAGGAATGAACTTGGTCCCACTATTTTTGTGGTCTGATCTAAACGCATTAAACCAATGGGCTTTGTCTATCCTTCAGTTCAGTAGGTTTTGGAGCGGGCCCTTGGGTTCCTGTCTCTTATTTTCATTAACGTATAGGGCAGGCTCTGTTTAGATTTAATATGACATCATTTGTTTTGTATTGTTATTCGTATAGATTCACACAAATATGGACAATATAATGGAGTTGGTTTTGAAAAAAAAAATCTTGATAGTAAATGAAAACAAATAGACTCCAAGCACAGCTGTAAAAAA